GACACTTCAAACTAAAACCCCTCAATAAAGACCACCCCTGTATAACAGCCAAAGGACCAGTTCCCAATGGTGACCGTTATACAGAGGTTCCACTGTAGTGACTGTGATATCATAGTAGTATCTACCATTGGGTGGAACTAATCTTAGCTCTAGATATGAATATTGTGAACACATACATGTAAATGTAATGTACATATTTTTAAATGGAACTTCCACCCACTACTGCAGTGAATCATTATATGTGCTTTGTTAAAGGTTAGTTAGTGTAGTGTTTGTACTGTAGACAAGATTCTGTCAACATTTCCAAGATGTCTTTCCTTTTATGGAAGTATATTTGGACTCTATTCAGGAAATATCAATATACACTGACTACTTGTGACAGGAACTGCTTCCTTATTCACCAGCATTGTGCTGCATTCAACAATAACTTGAAGAAACAAAATAGCAAACAATTACTTAATAAAAAATATGTATACTAATGCGATGCAAACAACAGCTAAAAAAGAATAGAAACCACTAATAATTACAAAACATTTTAATTATTCAAATGTTAACACTACTGTCATTTGTTAAAGTTCTTTACTTGATCCTATTAATCATTAATAATTAATTTATTATTATTATCAATTAATTTAGATCTCACTTATATATTCAGCAACTGATGTCTCTCCTACTTCACCAGCAGCAATAGCTAGTTTGTCCCATGTTGCCTCAATATCATCTGTAAGCCATTTTGCTAAACATTCTCTGAGACATCGCTTAGCATCTCGTGGATAGTTATCCTCAATTGTCTTCAGATCATTATGAATTAGACCCAAGTAGAGACCAAGATCAAACCATTTTTTGCTCTGAAAGTAACCTTTTTCTAACACTCGTATGATATCTACCAGATTCTTGATAGTCAATATGCCTATAAATAAAAATAAACAAATGATATGAAACCAGTGACAGTGAGTGCTTATACCTTTATGTTGATCATCATTGGACTCACTGATCTGTGTGGGGGAGTCTTTTGGAGTTGAGTCAATTTTTTGAATTGCCGACTCTGTTTAGAGTAAAAATATGAAACAATATAGCTTAGAGTGATATGTATTAGCTAATCTTACTGTGATCATCTTTAATGGTAATGTCTTCCAAAGGTGGAATCTGAATTTTATCAGTACAATAAATTATATTACTGTTACTAATAAATTTAATACCTCTTGGAGTTGTCTTTCTTGCAACATATTGTCATTAAACCACACTGATTCCTCATCAGTTAGGCGGCGAGGGCATCTTTCCATTTTGCAGTAAACAGGATCAGAGCTTGTCTTCTCAGCATCAATGTCTTGAATGTAATGTACATCACTGGAAGGACTGCATTGACAAACATACTGTACTTTTCTTGATGATTGATCAGCATGATGACCATGGTGAAGAGTTTCTTCAACCTTTTGGCAGCATTCATCTAATATCTTCAATATTCTTTGACAAACTGCTTTGAAAGGAACAGGGTGACTACTCTCAGGAACATATCTCAACACGTCAACTTGAATAGCTTCATTAACATCAGTGAGAACAAAATCATCAGAAGGATGACCATAAGAGAAGCAGACACGATTACGATAGATACTTTTTATTTCAACTTCAGAGGTTCGATGCAGAAGTCGATTGAAAAAACCGGAAGCAGGTACTGCATAAGCATAATCATTTTCAAAATTGAGCTCAACATTGGGATTTATAGCAATAGCAGTTGCTAAACGAGTGAAGAAGCCAGGAGGTACATGCCCAGTGGAGAATGTAATGTGTACAGGTGAGGCTCTTAGCTTATAACCAGGTCGTACTTCTGTATTAGGGTCACCTGTGTATCCTGGTAGCACTGCTGGAAGAAAATATTGCTTGAATCTGCTATCATAAAGCTCAGTTTGAACTTGAGCTGCAAGACGAAAATGAACTAAAAGTTCAATTATTTCTTCTGGATCAATACCACTTGACTGCCATACCTCTTGATAAAGTTGTTGAACAAGAATACCTTTATTTCGTAACAAATACCATCTTCTT